CCCAAAAGCAAATGCAAAACAATACAAATTCATCTACAAGGCGAGTGTGCATGTGTGTGTGTGTCTGTGTGAGTGAGTGCCTGTGTGTGTGTGTGTGTGTCTGTTGTTCAGCTCCCCCCTGCATGACACGCTCCGGCCACTTGGCATTGGTCTGCTTTGGGCTGCTTCTTCTTCTTTTTCCCTTGCTGTTTCTCTTCCTCCCCCACTTCCCCACTGCAAAGCGAAACTCCACTTTTACCTACGCCTTCGTCTGCAGACACGCACACATTTGCATTTCTCAAACACAAACAAATACACAGACACACACACACAGACACACACAGGCTTACATTTTCGAACGGTGTGTGTGGCGCTTATTCCGCTATTCCCTCGGCTCTTCACTTCTCTCTTCTCTTCTTTCACGTCTGCTGCTCAACTGGTTGACCACTACACACCCCACACCCCGCCACGGTTGACGCTTGTCTTCGTTGTCCCTTTCCGACTGCGTCTGGACTCAAACTTGTCGTCGTCTCCGTCTCCGTCTCCGTCGTCTGCTGCTTCTGCTTCTTCTTCTTCTTCGGTTTGCCGTTCCATTTGGTTTCTTTCACAAAAATTATATGAAAATTATACCAATTCAACTCATAAAATTTTTTCAGCTTAATAAATTGTGCAGACATTTTGTATTCGGCCTGTTCGTTGTTGTTCGTTTGTTCGCTTGTTCGTTGCTCGTTGCTCGGTCTGTGACCAGTCGCAGCTCCATCCTTATTGCCCAGATGCCCGCCCCTTTTTTGACTTTTAACTACGGCCAGCTATTTTAACCACGACCACTTTTCAGCCTCAGTTGGCTTTTGCACACAGGCACACTTTGACTGCTTCCCTGCTTTTAACATATATGTACACACACACACACACACACACCGACACACACACACATTCAGACATATGTTAAACGGAGCTCATAAAATTCTTATGTCTGCTTCTGCTTCTTCTTCCTTCGATTTTCCCATATACTTTCTTATCGTTGTGTCATAGTGAAAATCTTTATGTTCTGCAAAAAAAAAACATTAAATTTAATTTGCATATTTTACAGAGTATCTGCCAGTCTTAGAATCATCATTTTTGTTCATTTCAGTTTAGCATGAAATTAATCTTTTTTGCGATTATTCGATTCATATTCAATACGCGATTGCTTTGATCGACTTAATCATTCACTCAATTCATCTTTATGTTCTGCATATTTTACAGAGTATCTGCGAGTCGAGAGTGTCCGTCTTACAATCATAATTTTTGTTAATTTTATTTTAGCAGAAATTAAAGTTTCTGAATTGTGTTCAATGCTCGATTGCTTTGATCGACTTGTGGAATAACAAAACTTAATCAATATCTCAATAGCATTCACTCAATGAATTGTTTACTTTACCGCCGCGTTGCCAATCTGGCAACCAGCAGTCCAGCAATCCGGATGTGTGTGTATGAGTAGCACCTGAGATATACTCAGATACTCTCTAACTAACACACGCACAGCACACACACACCACACACACAGCACATTGTGCGTGTGCCATCAATCAGTCAAGCAAATTGCATCGAATTTTGATCCATATCCGCAGCGGATGAGGCTGCGAATAAAACAAATGTTCGACTGCTCGTACATCCATAATTAACGGCTGACTGAGGCAAATGATTGACGGTTTGTTGTATCTCACAGATACAATATTTACGCATGCCCCACCCACCAATATCCCAATACCCGCCAGCTCACTCCCCCGCCAGCCCTGCTGGCGGTCGAAACTAATACACTCACACAAAATATGCCCTAGAAATAAACCTTCATTTTAACATGCTATAATTAAAAACAAATTCAAAAAAAAAATTAGAAAAAGTTCGAAAACCGTCTCAAATTAATTTACTTAAAATTGGAAACTCTTGCTCAAAAATACATTTTCAAATACTTTATATTTCTAATTATATTAAATAAAATTATATTACTTCCAAACTAAAAACAATATTTAGAGAAAAGTTTAAAATTTGTAACCAAACACACTAAAATAATTTACTTCAAAGTAGAAACGCTTTCCCAAAAATATATTTGTTTTAAGAAATACCTCAAAAATGCAAATTTTGTGTCAAAGCTACTATACATTTTATTATTTAATTATAGTGTACAAACAAAAATTTTAATTTTTTTAACTTCTACAGAAAGTCGGAAAAATCAGACACATAAATTCCAAATAATTAAATATAGTTTTCCAATATATTTTTATACAAACCTTTGATTTCCTAAAATAGTTGGCAAACAGTTTGCTTTTAGCTGATAGACAGATTTTCTAAGCTACGTTTTTTTTTAGTGTAGCGACTATTTGCATTGCCTAAAAAAAGATTTAGAGTTCCTTTCAAGTTTGGCGCTCAGCGGACCACCTGCTGACAGGAAACTTTCGAACAAGTTTCCAACAAAAAAAAAAAACATGAATTTTTTGGTAGTTTCCACAATGAATGACAAACTGAATGGGAATGGGACTTGCGCAGGCATCATAGAAGATGATGAGGCTGATGATGATTGCAACTTGGTAGCCAACTTCAGGCTGTAGGCAATTGCGGAAGTTTTATGTTTTTGGCTGTGCGTAAATCGCTCAAGAAATCAGCTCAAGTGGAATAAGTTGTGGCTGGCCACATTCAAGAGCCTGACTGACTCCTTCGGTCAACACTTTCGACGATGCGCCGGGGCGCCTAAGAAACACCACCCAAAAAAACACCACAAGCCAGTTTTCCACTGTGGGAAAAGTGCTTCTAGCGGTAGGAGGAGGAGGAGGAGGAGGAGGCGCTTGCTGCTGCTGTTGGTGTTGCATTAAACAAATTGATTTCGGATGAGCCCATTGCCGTCGTCGGCATTGATAGAAATACTATACGATGTGTTCGCGTCGACGATTTCGAGAGCGTCCAATCGATATAAATATGTATGTGAATGTGTGTGTGTGTGTGTGTGTGTGTGTGTATGTGTGTGTGTGTGTGTGTGTGTGTGAAGATACATGAGTTCGCATACGAAATGTGAATATGGCTATGGATATGGCTATGGCTATGGCTTCTATCGAATTGTGGTGTTTTGGGGCAGGGCACGCCTTGTGTTTACCTTTGCCAATAAATTCAATTAATTGCCGGGAAATAATCATAAAGCAATCGTTCGTAATGCGAACACCAAATCCAAATCCAAAACCAAAACCAAAAATCAACTTCCACAATGTTTCGTTGATTATTGTGAAATATTTTTTCCCATTTTAGTAGCATTGGAAGACTGCTGCAAATGTAACCCACAAATTATTTGGGGAAATCATGTTGAAATCGATGAGCTGCCAAAAGTGTAATATATACTTTCAAGCAAACCATTTTTCTTTATTAACTAAGCCCAGTTGAAATTCAAGAATTCAAAGTAGTTTGTGGAAAGTTGTAATTCGAACATCGAATTAGTGGATATAAATGTGGATAGCTAGTTGTCAAACTAGGTTGATATCTTAAGCTGTAGGGCAGAATAAATATTAAAAAATAAATAAAAATAATAAAATAAAAGTGAATAAAGAGAATGACACTTTAATAATATTACATTTGGTGGTTTTTAATTTGTGAATTCTATACAAAGATTGGAGTAAACAGAGAATCACCCAAAACGATCTAAAAATATTTATAAATTTATTTTTATTTTTTTTAATAAATACTCAAATATTTTAAATCGAATACCGATTTCAAAACACATTTTTCTAACACTCAACCAATACAAGATGTGTAAAAAGGGTTTAATGATGTTGTGCAAAAATATATAACAGTCAAAGAGAAGCCTCTGCGATCCCATTAATTATATTATATATAATATGTAGTTTATATTAATTATTATAGCATATATTTTTGATTCGATTTAATAGCTAGTACCTCAAGTTTGGAATATTTATTTGCTTTGTTCAATTTAAATTGAAATATTTAATTTTGTTTTAAATTAATTTTATTTATTAAAAATTATCAAGAGTATTTAATTTATTTTCTACTCTTTGTATTATTTTGTATTGACTGAAATTAGTTGATCTTAAGTAACTAAATAAATAATTCTCTAGAGTGGACTAGAGTATTTGAACTGGTTATTATCACAATATTCCTTTTCACAATATTATGTCTTCCTTACTCAATGGTCGACCGATTTAAGAAAGTTTACCTAAACATTCCCTTGTGTCCGAGTATATCAATAGTGTATCAATTTACCCGAAATTTACTCATATTACATATATTACATATACATATAACACATCTGAATCTTTGCAAAGTATTGACCTAATCGCCAACTATTCAGGGGGGAGTTGGGGATAAAGAAATGGAGTTACCTCAGCATTTCCATATAATAACGCAATAGGTAACAATCGAGTGTTGGTGTTGTGGCTTGGGGGATGTGGGGGAGGCAATTATATTAGCTAAAGCCGGCATATATATATTGAATGGGACCAAAACAAAGTTATGCTGAGTGATTCCAAAGTAAAATATATCAATAAATTACTCAGAGGCAATGCCTCATGCAAAACGCAACAAGATAAAGAGAAGAAAAAACAACACGGCCAGTTCAATAATCCACAAGTTACGGAAAGTTTAAAATAAAAACATTATTCTCATATAGATGGATAGATAGATATATGTAGATAGATAGATAGATCGATCGATCGATCGATCGATTGCCCAAGTGTGGCTTGGCTTTGGATAGACCAACAATTAAGTTATACGCCCCTAATAAAATGCAATGTGATCATTTATTCATCACCCGCCAAAGTTGCGACACGACGCGCTATTCATATATTCAAAAATGTATCATAGAGTCTGACCGGGTCGAGAACTCCTTACGTGACTGGGGAATCAGGCATCAGAATCGAGTTCTCGACATCTCGCTAAAATCGATTATAATAATTCGATCGGGAATATGTGCGTAAATTTGCTGCACACCTCTCGACTCTCGACTCTTGACTCAGTTTGCAATCTTCTCGTTTCATCCACAGCGTCCCATGAGCGACGACAGCAGCAGCAACCAAGTCGGATTCAGATCACGAGTCAGCAGCAATTGTGAACGGGAGGAAGTGGAGCGATCTTTACGATCGTCCGCTCCTGGTTGAGAATGTGTTCCATATTTCGCAATCGCATCAATTATCGGGGCACAGGAACGCGCACTGCTACCTCCAATGGCAGTGGAGGAGGCGCAGGTGGCGGTGGAGGAGGTGGAGGCAGCAACAGCAGCAGCTCAGATCCCATTGGCGAACGGGAGAGTCTCCTGGCCAAGGAACTGAATGCGGACAGCAATAACAATGCGGCGGATGAGACAATCGAGCCGGAAATGGAGATGGAGCTGCAGCTGGAGAAGGAGAAGGAGAAGCAATCGGAGACATCACTGCCCAGCTCCGATCAGCCAGAGAATAGCAATGAGGCATTGGATCTCTCGGTCATCTCGGGCAATCGGTTGCCCAACAGTGGGCATGTGGCACTAGAAGCTTTACAACATACCAAAGTGGCGGTGGCTCAGTTTGCGGCCACGGCGCTGGCGGCGGCATCCACAGATCCCAGTGATCTGGCCATGGTGCAGTCGACCATCTTCAATGTGCAGCGACAGCATCTGATGCAGCTGCAGCTCATCCAGCATCTACAGAGTCAATTGAAGCGAGCGGGGGGAGTGGTCGCCGCCCTCAGCCGGCAGGGTCAAAACTATGCCGAGCAGGATGACGATGAAGCGGGAGAGGAGGCCGAAGATGTGGAGGAGTTGGAAGAGGAGCAGCAACTGTCGATGCCATCCAAAGAGCCGTCGCGAGTGAACGGTGAGCGAACCGAATTGGATCATGCAAGGCTGGAGGAGAGTTCAAAGACTGATGACGAGTGCAATAGGCTGGGCGAGAGACCAAGGCGCGCCTTGGCCAGGGAAAGATCGCGGGAGACGACGAAGACAGAGGCGGAGGCGGAGGCTGAAGCCGAAGGCGAACACGAGCTGGCCGAGAGCGAGTACAAGCCACTGATGTGCGACATTAGCTCCAGTCTGGCGTCCAGCATCATCACCAATCATGATCCGCCGCCGGCGCCCAATGAGCCCAACTGTCTCGAGATGCTCCAGCGTCGCACCGAGGAGGTGCTGGACTCTGCATCGCAGAGTCTGCACGCCGCTCAGATGCAGGAGGAGTACTCGGAATATGCCACCAAGGAGGCGCAGAGTCGCGGCGAGATCTTCAAGCATCGCTGCAAATATTGTGGCAAAATCTTCGGCAGCTATTCGGCCCTGCAAATCCATTTGCGTTCGCACACAGGCGAACGACCCTTCCACTGTAATGTTTGCGGCAGCAAGTTCACCACCAAGGGCAATCTCAAGGTGCACTATCAGCGGCACACGCAGATCTTTCCGCCCATGCTGATGCCACCCGTGGTCAACGGGGTCAGTGCACCCGAGCAGTTTGCTGCCATTCGGCTGCCGTTTGTGACACCACCAGTGGTGGCAGCAGCAGCAGCAGCACCACCACCACCACTGGCAGCACCACTACCACCACCACCACCCCCACCCCCGCCGCCAAGCAACGAACAGTCAGCGCTGGAGCAGCTACAGGAACCGACAGCTCTGGGACGACTGCAGCAGGCCGAGGATCTAAGTAAGCCACCAGCCACCAGAGAGTTATCGCAGTCACCCGAGCAAGTCACGCAACCAGCTCCGTGTACCAAGTCGCTTATCGAGCCTCCTGCGCTGGTGTCGCCCGAGAAACAGGACCAGGACAAGATGAAGGACAGTCCCAAGCCAACGACACCGCCAACGCCACCCGCTCCCTCGCCAACAACACCAACAACTCCAGCAGCAAGCAATCGTCGCAATGGTAGTGTCCGCAAGCGACAGACAAGCCAGGCGGGTAGTCCGCCTGGCGAGGAGCATCCTCATGCCGAGCATCACTCGCACCTGGTCAAGTTGGTGCGCCGCTCGTCGGCGAGCCGGGATGGGATGACAGCGATGCCTGGCGGTGGTTTGCCTGGCGAGTATTCGTTGGCGCAGATGGAGCGTATTATTGACAAGTCGTGGGAGGATCTCATTGAGATCGACAAGACGTCGGAGACATCGAAGCTGCAGCAGCTGGTCGATAATATTGAGAACAAGCTGACCGATCCCAATCAGTGCATCTTCTGCCAGAAGGTGATGTCCTGTCGCAGCTCCCTGCAGATGCACATACGCACCCATACCGGGGAGCGACCCTTTCGCTGCAAGATCTGCGGACGCGCCTTCGCCACCAAGGGCAACCTGAAGGCGCACATGAGCATCCACAAGATCAAGCCACCGATGCGCAGCCAGTTCAAGTGTCCGGTGTGCCATCAGAAGTTCTCCAACGGCATCATTCTGCAGCAGCATATACGCATCCATACAATGGACGACGGCAGCGCTGGTCATGTTCAGCTGCAGGGGCAGGGTGGCGATGTCGAACGCTTGGGCATCGAGGATCAGAACTCGAACAAATCGATGGGCACCTCAGACACGCTGGACTTCTCGACAACCGTCTCGGATCATTCGGGTCAGCGATCGGAGTCATCGCAGGGCGGCGACTTCGATGAGTTCATGACCATGGACAGCACGGATGATTCACGTGACAATTCCAGCGCACTGCTCGACAGGGAGAGGGAGCGAGATAGACGGCTGCCAGGGCATGATGATGAGCGCTCCCGGTCGGACGATGTGGAGGGCAGCGGACGTGAAAGTGCCAGCGGTGAGATGCCCGCCATGGATCTATCATCACCATCGCCATCGGCCACATCGCTGGCACGTCTCTTTGGTGTCGGTGGCGGCGGCAACAGCGGTGCCACGTGCTCAGGCGCTGGAGTTGCTGCTGCTGCGGCTGCTGCAGCCAATTCAGGCGGTTTGCCGATGTTGCATGGCATGCCGATGCCACCGAATCTGCTGCTGATGGCCGCGGCCAGGGAGGAGATGCATGCGCTGGGCCAGACGCATGCCAAGTTTCCGCTGCTGCCCTTCGGACCGCTCGGATTAATGGGTAAGCGACAGTTTGCCAAGATGACAAAGCCTCTTTGTCTGTCACCTTTGACCCGAACGTTGTTTGCCATCCAGTCTCGCGATAAATCTGCCTTCATCTGGCTGCGACATAACTCAATTGGACCAAGACAAAGCAGGCATTTTACAATCCACACCCATTTCCATCTCCATCTCCATCTCCAATTCCATTTCCAATTCCAATTCACCCCATTGTGGCCATGTGCCGCCAGCTACTTGCTGCCTATGCCAAATTCCAACAAATTTATTTATAAACTTTTCGCGCATTTTCAATACAAATGCAAACAAATAAATATATATATGTATGGATATATATATATATATTTATATATCATGATCGGGCTCAATGAATTACGCGTTTCGTTTTCATGATCGTGGCGTCATTATGTCACAGCACTTTAGTCTGATTTAAATTTATTATATTGAATTTTGGTCTCGTTTTGCCTGCGCGCGGCACGCGTCTCCGAGTTATGTCGCATCCACATACATAATTTAATTTGTTACTTCCTTGACGGGTATATCGGGTATATCATTCTATAGGACTGCAGCCGCCCCCAAATGTGTGCAATCTGTGCTTCAAGATGCTGCCCAGCCTGGCCGCCCTCGAGAGCCATCTGCAGAGCGAACATGCCAAAGAAGTGACGGCTCCTTCCGTTCGAGCCCACTGCAACGATGCGTTATCACCCTACGGTGCAAAGGTAAGTTCTTTACTGATATATACTTAAATATATACATAAGTCAGTAGTCTAAAAAGTGTGAAAACTTGTTTTCTGCTCAGCAAAGACTTAAGAATCGATTTATGACTTACGTTTAAAAGTGATTAACAAATATTTCCCCGAATAATTCTCAGAAATCTAGCATTTTTATGTCGGTTCTAAGAACCTGATTATAAGTAACTTTTTAATTGCTGGTTAAACCAATTTTTTAATTTTGTATTAATCTAAATCTGAAAGTTTCTAAAAGCATTTCATTTTTTTTGTAGTCTACTTTTTTATCTCTTCTTTATAAAAAAGTAATTTTTTAAGATTTTCGAATTTGCTATAACTTTATATAAATGTGTTTCGTAAATCATATTTAAAAGCCAAAATTTAATTTAGAGTTTTTTATTTAAACTAATTCATTTATGAATGTGTTGCAACTTGAAATAAGTTTATTTTGTACATTTTGATATAATTTTTAGGCTTATTTTAGATTAAAGTTATTGGTTTAGTTACTAAAAATAAGAAAACCGGGGATATATATGCCGAGTCCTAATCAAGAGAATAAATACTTTTAGATATCTGAATTATCTTCTTCAGATGTGTGAAGAAATTACGCTGCTAGAGTTGAAAAATAGAATTCAAAGTTTATTAAACCAACTTCTAATGATGAGAATTATTGCCAGCTGTGAATCCAGCTGCTGTTTTGCTCGCCTTCTACCCACATCATATCACATTATCCATATACATACATACATGCCACAAAGCCTTGCCTCGGCATCATTAATTAAATTGTTATGGTCACAAGTGGTCCGCAGAGTGGCTAGCCAAATATGGAGCTGGAGCTGGAGCTGAAACTGGAGCTGGAAAGAGCTGGACTGGCAGAGAGAAACTCCTGTTTAGGCAGGTCCATACAAATTATGAGCTTATTATTAATTGCTTATCTCGCTGCTGCTCACGACTTTGGCATTATTATGAAGAAATTGTGGCCGACAATGCATACTTTGGCCTTAATTGTTAACGTTCCGGTTAGCGGTCTAGCTTCTGAAGAAGAAGTATGGACTTGGAGAAATGCTTCTTGTTCCCCGGGTCTGTCTCAGTCTTAAAGCGCTGGGATTACACTGCACAACAATGCCAATTATTTATTAAAGTGCGTTCGTCTGCGAGTTGGAATTGTATCTTAGACGAGGGCAGCAGCTAGTTGTGCGTGTGTGTGTTGAGTGTGTCTGTGCTTTGGGGCAGACATGTGGCTGCCCATAACTTAAGCACAAATGCGTGAATTAATATTTAAGAATGTTTGTCCGCAGTTTGATGTTGTGCTTCTGGCTGTGCATGGCTCACAATGCGGCATTGTCTCTATATGACTAATGACATCGTTCATTATATTTTAAATTCTTGGAGTAACTCCAAAATGAAACTATGTGAATATGTGTAGAAAGTGGCGCATTCAAAACTCGAATGAGTTATGGGCCCAGTGGAGAGTGAAGAGGACTAACAAGAAAAAAAGATTATAATCAAATATAAATAAAATATATAAATAATCTTAATAATAATAATAATAATGAACCAAAGCAATGCAAATTTGTTTTAATATTTTGTATTTATTTAAAAACAACACATTAAAAATAAATAATCTACAAACCCTATAAACTTCAAACACTTTCCACTTCAAGTCTGTCCGTCTGCGTCTTTTGGGCGCAACACTCACCCCTGAACCGCTCCTGTTGCTGGCGATATTTGATGGCCCGAATGCGTTTGCAGTGTAAATGTCATAACATTTTCAGGCCATAATCAGCCCTGTTACTCTGCCACGCCTCGTCTCGTTGCGACAGACGCTGGAGTGCACTCCAAATATATATAAACTGGGTGCCCCATTTCGTTGCGTTCCGTTCCATTCCGATTTGCCCGCTTAACACATTGTTGATGAGCTACATGGGCCACGAGAGACAAGCATCGGCATCAAGCATCAGGCATCGTCATCGTCATTTTTGGGCTTGAAGTTTCTAAATATTTTCAAAATTGTAAGTAATTACGAGAATGCGTTATGATGATGCGAAATGATGCGAGTTGGCTTGCTCTTGTCTGGTCTGCCCCGACCCCCGACCCCGGACCCAAATGAATGATCGTGCCTCGCGTGCCATCAGCTCCCCCTCCAACAAACTGGGAAGCTGGGAGCTGATGAGGGGAGGGAATGAGGCGTCTGGGTGCCGGATCGGTGGCGGTGTGTGCGATGCATTCAATGCAAATAAATTATGTTACGCCTTATGCAAAATTATTTAATCTTTTGTTTGTCGCGCCTCGCCATCTCTGTGGGGCAAGCAGACACGGCCTGCTGCCTCAGTCAACAGCCAACAGCCAACAGGCAACAGGCAGCAGGCAGCAGGCAACATGCAGCAGTCAACATGCAACAGTCAGATGCGTTTTAAGATACACGACAAACAATTGTTTTGCCATAAAAATATGAGAGACCCGGCGGTTTATGTCTGTGCAAGATAATTAGTTGGCATTATTATGCGCGATGGCATAGAAAAATTGCATACACAACATATAGACGATTATGTTTTAGTATGGGGTATGGGGGTCTCTCTCTCAAAAATAAGATAATTAAGAATCGCGTCTGGCCCAAAGATTCGAGGAGTGCTCTTTGAACGCCACATTAACTGGCAAATGCAAAGAAATTAGCGCTATACTATTGCTGCAAATGTGTATTTCAGCTCACTCTCAATCCAAATCTGTTTGCCAAGAAGCCGAAGCCATCCTCAACGCTGGAGATGGCGCCTGCGGACCCAGTCACGCCATTGTCGGCACCCATTAAAGAGGAGCCCGAATCAGATCAGCAGCTGCAGCTACTCGATGAGGGTGGCTGCGATAGTGGCACCAGTAGTGGTACTTCTGCTGCTGCTCCAGCTACTGCTGGGTATCAGCATGAGGCTGCCGCCGATGCGGAGCAATCCCTAATGAAGATGCAGTTGCGTAAGTCCCCCTAACCCATCGTCTGTAGCGACTCCCACAATTGTCCACAATGCTCCACAGATGCACATCGATTTCCAGCTGGTCCGCTGGACTTTCAGCAGGCTTTGATGTCGGCCGGCCCGCCCAGCTCTAGCTTGGATCCGCCGGTGAATAACAAGCACTTTTGTCACGTCTGTCGTCGCAATTTCAGTTCGAGTTCGGCACTGCAGATTCATATGCGCACCCACACCGGAGATAAGCCGTTTCAGTGCAATGTGTGTCAGAAGGCCTTCACCACGAAGGGTAACCTTAAGGTGCATTTCCGTTACTGCTCGCAGAGGCCAGTGCTCAAAACTGATCGCCATTTCCCTATGCCAATGGGCCACTCCACTGATTTCTTGCAGGTTCACATGGGCACGCATATGTGGACGAATCCGACATCGCGTCGCGGCCGTCGCATGTCCCTGGAGTTGCCGATGCGACCGGGACCTGGCCCGGGCCCAGGTGCCGCACATGGTGTACCAACGGCTGAGCAGGAGTTCATGCAGCGACGTCCAGAACTGTTCTTCCCATACTTGCCACCCTTCTTCAACGGAATGCCACCCAAAGTAAGTTTTTTTTAATCAAATATTTAAGGAATATTTATTTGAATAATTTACTTATTTGAAGTAGAACTTCCCAACCCTTCTTCCCACTTATCACCTTGATATAACCTTAACTTTGTCTTCAACGATTTTCTTTATTTTCCAATTCTCACTCGTTAGCCCGGCGAATTGAGTCCTGGCGCTTTTGCCAACATACCTCCACCGCATTTTGCAAATGGAGCCAAGTATCCATATCCACCGGGTCTGCTCAGCTTTCCTGGCTTTCTGGGTGGTGCCGGCGGTCATCACCAGCATCCCTATGGCGGAGTGGAGCGAGGCAACAGCAAGTCACCCACATCGGAGCCGGCACAGAGTCCTGCTTCTCGTGAGGATGACTCGGGTCTCAGTAATAATATCTGGCATCCGCTGAGCAGCATTAAGATGGAGAACAATCAAAATGAGAGCACTGGCAATCAGAGCGAGCAGGAACAGGAACCGGAACCGGAACAAGAGCAGGATCAGGAGGATAATAAGAGTGTAGGCATCGATGCGGATGGCGAGCCTGAGGCGGATGCTGAGGATTCAGCTGAGAAGTAGTGAGAGAGAGGGGGAGAGAGGGGTAGAGAGGGAGAGAATACACATGGTTTTTGTGGAGTACATATCTTGAGCATTACACTACGCTAAGCTTGACCTAGCACACATATATACGAATATATATCCTCTGTGTCTATATATATATACATATATATATATATATATATATATAGTATGAGTATGAATAATTGATAGCGATCTTGAGGCATTTAAATGCATTAAGTATAGCAATAAGTTGTATAAATCGCAAAACGTAAATGAGAACGAGAATGAGAACAAATAAGACCGAATCGGCAGCACTCACACAATTAACTAATTTTATGGCTACACATAATACATACTTAACAAATAATTATAATAATAATAATAATAATAATAATAATAATAATAATAAAGTAGATACACGTAATGTAAACTGTGGTAGTTGCATATAAAAAGCGAAACCCAAATCGAAAATCGAATGATCAAAAATAAAAACCAGCGTGCAAATTGCAAATATCGACTACCAATTTTCTTCTCTTTGGGAAATGGGCTCATTTCTAAAAATATTTGTTATTGTTTTTTTTAGTGAAAATAATTCTCTTCTGTTATATCCAAAAATATCGCAACAAAGATGATGAAAAACTTGATTTGACAGTAAAAAGAGCTTGCAACATTTGTATGTATTTAGTTGTTGTCATGTTGCATAAACAATGATTTTTCAAATCTTGCCAATTAGACTGTTGTCATTTTGGCAGCGCTTCTTCAAATAATTATAATTGCTAGACCGCAACAAGTTAATGTCGCAGCGAGTTATAATTGTTCTCAGAATATGACAACTGGGCAAGTGTGAAAAGATGGGTTTATAAATATCAACAGTGATTTATGATGATTTTGTAAACGAAACAAATCTAAAAATAAACAAAACAAAAATATTTAAATGTCATAAATATGTTGCATACACGTTTAAAAAGAAAAAATGTTAATTGTTTTGTTTTATTTTTCTGTTTACAAATCTGAGTTAGCCTTATTTTTAATTCCCTTTTTATTGGCCCAATATAATTTCCACTAGTATAAAGATTGCACCCAAGAAGCATTTAGTTGCAGCTTCTGCAGCACTCAGCGTCCTTTCAAATGCCTTGCCCTGGCCACAAAAATATAATTTCCACTTGTATAAACATTGCTCCCAGAAGCATTTAGTTGCAACTCCACTAAACACCCCTCACAGTCCCTTCAAATGATGCTCACCGACTTGCTCATATTGTTTGCAATTTTTCCATTTTCCACAATGTTGCGCTTTTCCATGGAAATTGTACTCATTTCATGGGCGCACATATTTCATATGCGGCTTTTTGCACGGACACCGCTAACAGAAAACAGGCCGTAAACTGTCTAGAGACTATGCCCACAATTGCTAGACGAGGGAGCCAACCTATTATCAGAGTATCCCCCGACCAAATGTTTGCTATTAAACATTATGGTTGGGAGAATGGGAGGATGGGAGGGGGTCGCATGCCAGAAGGAGATGTTTACGTTTACTAACGAATTGCCTCCTGCATCGAAATGAGCGATGAGAAATTATGCCATGTCTGGAGTGGAGATCGACGGCAATTTCAAGATCAACATTTCTTCTGTAGGCCTCAAAATATGAATACCATGAAGCTAGTTTGTATTGTGTACACTCAGAAAAAAATAGCGTTTACTTTTAGTACCACTCACGTTATTATTTAGAAAGCATATTTCTAAAAGGGAATTTGGTGTTCTTCTGAAATTCAAGGACTTTTCTTTTAGGGTAAATTTTTCTTAAATTAAAAAAAATTATGTGTATTATTTCTAGGGTGGTTTTCAATATGTGTATACAGACAAGATTTATTTTTATGTATAAGTTTTCAATGGTTCACATATATAAACATTTTAGATTCATATAATTTAATAGGACACTTTTTCGATTTTAACAATGTTTCAAAAAGGATTTATTCCTAAAAGAAACTTTTCTTATTTTTAGAATAGTTTCTGTTATCAAGAAATATATTTCTGATAAATAGAAATAAATTAAATTTTAAGAATTTGTGTTTAAGGATATTTTGAAATTATTTCTAAAACAGGAAAACTTTCAGGGCAATTTTCGAAAATGCAGAGCGATTGTTTTTCTGAGTGTACATCGATGTAATATACTGCATAACCTCATTTTGGCCAGTTTACCCCAGTTCCAACAACTGGGGCCCGCCGTTTTGCTCTATGTACGATTCATATTTATGTGGCATGCACTTTGTTTGATCTCAACGAGTAATTAAATTTTGTCTGCATATGCAAAAATTATGAGAGACGACTGCTGCACAAGATGCATCCAAATGCGAAGCAGCTAAATCGTTTGATGGACAACGTCTAAGGACGGAGGCAACTTTGAAGTGTTTCTAATTGAGTGTGAGTCTAGAGAGTGGAGAAAGGAGATTGGAGAGTGGAGGGCAGAGTGTTGTTGCCGGCGCTAACAACAACTATTTAAAGTACTTGGAGCCGTTAGGCGCTAACCTGGATGCCTTCATAGACTCTGCGGTTTTATCGCCCACCTTTTGGCAATGGCCATCGCAATAGAAATAAAAATGGAAATGGGAGCAAACGCAACATGCGGCCATCGTGTATCGCACTTAATGGCACCCACAAATTCCGTGCTAATTGTTGCACCAAGAACGAGTTTGCTGCCAGCAGCAAGCAGCAAGCACCCAGCAACCAGCAACCAGTGCCCAGCTTCCATTGCCATGGCCATATCCATATTCCAAGATCACCAAACGTTGCCAGTTTGCTGGCTGCCGGTTGCTGGTTGCTAGTTGCTGGCTGCATTTGCCCCATGCGGCGCAGCTCGAGTAGTTTGCTTCAATTTTGCCTCAATTATTTCGCTTGTTTGTTTATGGTGGAATCTTTAATCTTGCAGCCTAGTGTCGCTGACAACCTTGACGTCGACGTCGAAGTTGCGGCAAGCTTCAACACAGCCCAGCTCAGCTTCTGCAGTTGCCGCATGCGTGGCCACGATCTAGACAACGCCCTGCCGCATGAGAATTGAGGACACAGCACAGCACAGCACAGCAGCGGCCGTCTTTATATCTATGATCATTGCATTCGACGAAGGTATTGGCTTACAAGTGTTACGAAAAAAAAAATTGATTATTCATGTTGAAGTGTCCTTGCCAGAAATCCTCTTGTTGCAACATACTGCTTACAATTTCGATTAAACAAAACTTCAATTGCAAATATCTGGCAGTGTTTAATGACTAATAACAAGTCAAAGTTACTTAATTTATTCAAGCATTTGCTTTGAATACATTCATAAATGAAATTTCAATTGCATAGCACACACTCAATGCTCAACATTGAACACACAGCATTCAACACTCAACACTATTTACATCATCATTCACAGTTGCAACTGATGCCCGGCTTGTTGCAAGGTCACGCAAGCATCGATAAGGCTTGTTGCGATCGCGCTGCATGCGAATAAGTTTTGGCTTATTGCACAATGCACGTGACTACAACATATTCTACTAACCCTCCACCTCTCCCTGCCCATCCAGAGCAACCCCCTGCCATGCTCACAGAGTGGTCCAAACTAGTTGCCTTCCAAACGGCCGCTGTGGATGCCAAATGCATTTTTAGTTTTTCTTTTCTTTTTTTTTTTTGTTGGACCCACCAAACAGCGAGCAGTTGGCTTAAAGCGGAAGCGATAACGTCTAACAAATTAAGCCATGTCCGTGGCCAAGGCAGGCAGAAAGACTTTATTAGTTGCAGTTGAAGATGAAGTTGCTTCAATGTCGATTTCAACTTGTATAAATAAATAAATGCTGAGCCGGGCATAATACTCAATTTCGTTATTATATTCCAATCAGACGTGCACATAAAGCCAACTGGCATCAATAAAGGTCAAAGTTGGTGGGGGTGGAATTTGGGGTTGGGGTGTGTGTTATGCCTTGTCCAGTAAGCGTTTTTCTCCAACAAAAATATTAGAAGCAAAAATATATTTTCATTTCGATACACTTTTGGGATTTGAGTGCGAGGGTCAAGGCAACCTGGAGTCGCCCCGAAGTGTTTCCATATTCAATGTTCAACATTTGCAGCATTGGGCAAAAAAGGGATGAGTTTTATGACAATGCCTGACAAGTTTATGCGACCCGAGTTGCGCTGCTTTATGCATAGAGCCCCAGCTGAGTCATAAAGACAACCTGCAACAAATCCAGCGACGACTCCAAGGTGTTCACTCAAGCAGCTACCAAGACTGCTTGCTAACTGTGTGTGTGTGTGAGTGTGTGTGCGTGTGTGTTCAACATTTAATGGCAATAATAAAGTGGCATAACATTCAACACTCAGTCAGTGGCTTTCTTTGCCGTCTGACCGCATTTATCATACGCCCCGGCGACAGACTATTTTGACAAGTTATCAACATTGAAATGCAGCCAACAAGTTGCCAAGGCAGACAACCAACAACAGCAACAACAACAACTGCAACAACAACTACCGCATTAGACATCGCGTCAGTTTCAAGCTTCACCAGACTTCCTCCCTCCGCCTTCCGACCCCCTCCCCACTCGAAGCAGCCTGTCATAATATGACCGAGTAGCTGCAGATGCGCCCCAAGTGCTCTTACCTCTCAGCTCTGAGTTCTCTTAGCTGCCACAGTCTGCAGCCGGCAGACGACAAGCATATTTATGTTATGATTTGAATACCGCTAATGACAGCCAGCCAGCCACATTTTGGGTGGCACAGCGAAGGCAGGCAGGCAGCAGGCAGGAAGGCCGGCAGGCAGGCGGGCATTCAACAAATGAATCTAGGGCTAAATTTGTATCCCGAGTGGTGTTCGAGAGAGATTTCAGCGCCTTCATCAATTCGTCGCTTTGTTGTAGGTATTTTCACACCTTTTGGAACTCATCATCATTTTCCACCAAATTATGTAAATTGATTTCTTGACTTGCAACCAACCAAAATGCACTCAGTGCACCACTGCCAAGGGAATCATCATTATTACAAACGATCGATCGAACACAGGCGATTTTACTCAATACTCAGACACACATTCACTTTATAAATTTATTGAGCTGCATGAGAGATACAGTTGCTATAAATATAGCTGGCGATTGTTTATAGCCAACGCTGGCTGCTTTGTTTCTTTTCAAAATGAATGGTCCCATATCGGGAGTTGAAAGTGTGTGTTTGGCTATTCTGGATATGTTTTGTTTATTTCTTTTGGGCAAACAATTTTCGCAGTTAATTATCAATAATCGCTTATGAATAATGCATATCAAACGTAAATCGTCTTTCATACTATTTATCTTGATAGTTGAAAAATATTTATAATAGTTTCAATAATTATAAAAAGAACTACTGCTATAATTTTGAGCGACGATTTCTTGAAGATATTATTTATTTCAAGTGTTTTATTACGAAAATGGTCAAAGCTTTAATTAAATTATGTTCTTAAGATATGTATATGTATATATATTTTATTTTATTTTATT